GGAGAAGTTGAGACATCCTGTTTTGGGATTCTCATCTCATTAATAAAAGAATTAAGAGCAGACCCAAAAGAAAGCTTAAGAACAGTTTTATTAGAGTTTCAAAGAAAAACTCCAGGCCAGGCAAGCTGTAAATCTCAGTAGCTTCCAGGAGGAGGAGACCTGAGAAGAGAAGAGGCCAGGTCAGCCTTATGGTAGTCAAGCAGTCACATGCTGGGAGGGGAGCTCCAGAGGAATGAAAAAGCCCAGAGTATCATAGTGAGCGGGCTTAGGCCCTGGACAACATCCAAAAGAAAAAGGCAGAAGAAAGCAGAGGAACTGTCCCTTCTTGGGTCAGAACTCAGGTGGGCAGATGCAGTTCAGCCGCATGATGCTCATAGGGACTCCTGAAAAACTTGCTTTCAATTATCTTCTTGTCTTCTTTTCAACCCCCCCCTTTTTTTTTGGTGGGTGCTGATGAAAAGCAGGAAGCATCAGGACTGTGAAGCCCTACCAATGTTAGCTTGAAGGAGTGATTCTCTCAAGGCCTGGTCCTAATTCTCCCTGGGATGTGGAGGAGCTGGGGATGTATGGATTTTAAGCCAATGCCAGTGAAATTAGAACTCTATTTTTAACATGAACAAAAGTTTCTATGCATGCCCCTGCCAAGTGTTTAAAATTATTCTAAAGCTTGTTTTTCCCATGTGATATAGATGGACATCTCTCCATCAGTACAGATTTGCTTGAATCATTATTAACAAATTGAGACTGTCCTGTAATGCTAGGTTTGCCATAGTTCAACTAATACCCTATAATGCTAGGTTTGCCATAGTTCAACTGTTTCCCCACCAGCAAACATTCATTCTTTCTTTCTTTTCTGTCTGTCCATCTTCCTTCCTTCCTTCCTTCCTTCCTTCCTTCCTTCCTTCCTTCCTTCCTTCCTTCCTTCCTTTCTTCCTTCTCCCCCCCCTTCTTTCTGTCTTTCTTTTGAAGATAGCCCAGTACAGTGTCTTCCTTTGAGTGTATGCAAAGTTTAACAATAGAAGGGTTTCTGGATGCAGACCATATGTGACTGGGGCATCTTCATTTAAAAATTCTATAGGTACTCTAACGTGGCTTTCCACAAAGGCTGAAGCAGTGTTTGCTCACTGTGAAAGTGTGTATTTTCTCACTCACTCATCTGCACTGGGTGTTATGAATCTTACTCATTAGGATTACGTGGCTATATTCAGTTGTTTTCCTTTTTTATATGTATTAATCCTCTGTCTATCATCTAGGTTATAAATATTTAGTCTCTCAATCTAACTTTGTTTTCCTTGGAATCCTTCTCATAAGTTTCTTCAAACTGATTTTAGTTACATGTTGGTTTCTGTTTATTCTTTTACTGTTTACTATTGTTTGAATACTTATAATCACTTCTTAAAGTTATGGTTAAGTTCTTTTTTTATTCATATTGATCCCATATTTTTTATTTACCAAATCTTTATTCTGTCTGTTTTTATTAAATAGGTATAACTTGCATATTGTAAAACCAGTTAGCTGATTTTTAGTACATTTTCGAGAGCATGCTATCATTATGAATGACCTTTTTCTTCTTTTGTGTTAAGGACTGGAAGACAGGACCTCAGACTTGCTAGGCAAGTGATTATCACAGAGGGGATACTCCTCAGTCCTTCATGTAGGATGAAGCAGAGCGCAATCTTTGCTATCTTTTGTAAATTTGCATATTTGGAAGAGTCAGATCCTAGGGAAGCTCTGAGGAGACGAGTGACTCTGAGTCACTTGACTGAGGCTAGTCAGTCCCATCAGTTGATGATAGAGCAGCTTCAGTCTAATGCTGAAGGGGAGAGTGCTGGATGGGAGGACCCTCTCTCTCCTGGTGGCTCAGGTTCCTTATAGGCCAGCCCCTTAATTCTGAATAAAATAAATGGATGCAGAATTGTAAAGGAGCAGTCTTTTTCAAGGTTGTGGGTCTAGAGATTACTCCCTTCTAAGTCAGAGAGATCTGGATATTTAGAGTAGCAATCAAGATTGTCAAAAGAATGACAGCAGTCCCAATGGTCAGAGCAGGTGAGACCTTCATCATCTAAGGAGGCCTCCAGGAGGTGCAGGCAAACCCTCCTAAGACAGTTAGCATGTGTTTACACTTTTGTCTTGACCTGTCTCAGGTGTGCTGCTCTAAGGCTGTGACCTGTCAACTTGCAGATATCCACCTTATCAAGAAAAGGGATGGGCCTTGGTCAGCAGCCATGTAACTGTAACTGTAAATAGCTTTCTTGTGAAGCAGCCAGTGAGGAAACATCTCTGAACCTCTGGAGATCATCCTGCACCTCCCGCTGCTGTGTAAAGACAAGAATGCCCCCCCCCCCCCCCCCCCCCCCCCCCCCCCCCCCCCCCCCCCCCCCCCCCCCCCNCCCCCCCCCCCCCCCCCCCCCCCCCCCCCGTGTTTTTGTGCTCCTAGCAGACCCTGTGACTGCCCTGTGGAGTCTCCAGACCTGTCCTCACCTGTTTTGTCACCGCCAAAGCGGGGGCTCTCAGCTAAAGCTCAGATCCAATCCATTCAACATTTTAGTGAAAGGCTTTTGTGGGTCTGTGGCCCTGGCTCTGTTTTTCCCATGCATCCTCATCCCCAAGTATATATCAAACTGTCTGTGTTAGCATGAAGTATTTCCAGTAGCTTTCTCTTATAAAATATAATATATTATGTACACTATAAATTCTTTTATATACTATAAAATTTTCTCTGTTTCATTTTATTGAGTCACAGTGAGATTAATTGGTCATTTTGTTGAACGAGGTAAAGTACCATGAAATTGAAATAATCATTAAGACCGGGTATGTGAGCATGGCTAATCCTTGACAATCATCCAAGAACATACATAGAAGACATAATCTTGTGTGTGTGAGAAAGAGTGTGTGTGAGAACAAGCAGGCATGTATGTGAGTGAGCCTGCCTATTCGTGTGCATATGAAAGCCAGGGGTCAATGTTGGTATCTCTTACTCAATTGCCCTCTATGTTTTTTCCCCCACCTTATCCTTTTGAGCTAAGAGTCTTTCACTGAACCCACCTCTTCCCTCTACCCCATCCTAAGTCCTGGCATTGCAGACGTGCACTGCCGTGTCCACGTTTGTGGGTTCTCGGTCTCCAAACCAAGGTCCTGGGCTTGCACAACCAGTACTTTACCTACTGAGCCCAACGAGAGAGAATCTTTGCTGGAAGGCTTTCATTTAGTGTGGGGGCCTGTCTTCATACAAGAGACACCCCAGACATGTGCGGTCCCTGTCACAAAGTATTTATCTGTGACTCTTCACTAGCATGCGCATATTAGAGGGTTCCTATGAAAGGGGAAAATGACTATTGAAAATATCGTGGAAAATTCCTCAAGTGAAAGGGAAATGTTGACAGTCCCAGAAGAATCGACTAAGTAACTGAATCTCAGGAGTGTCAGCAGCAGTGCTGTGAGGTGGGACATGAGCTATGCATCTGAGCTACAATAGTGCTCAAAATTTTCTGATAGATAGGGGCAGAGGTGGCTCAGTGGTTAGGGGCACTGGCTGGTCTTCCTTGGGGCAAGGCTTGATTCCCAGCATCCTATCAGACGACTCACAATTACCTGTTACTCCAGTTGCAGGGCTTCTAACACCTTTGGCCTCTGCAGGCGTGCATACACACAAATAATAAATTTATTTTTTCCTGGTAACCAGATTAAAAAAGTATAAAGAAACTGATAATGCTAATTTTAATACCTAACTTTATGTAACCCCAATATCAAAGTCTTGTTTTATGTTTTTTTTTCTGATTTTTCTTTAAAAATTATCTTTATGTGTATGGTGCTTTGCATGCTTGCTATCTGTGTACCACATGTATTTCTGAGGCTCACAGAGGCTAGAAAAGGCAATGGGTCTCTCGCATTGGAATTCCAGATACTATGTGGGTGCTGGGAATCAAACCTGAGTCTTTTGGAAGAGTAGCCAGTGCTCCAAACCATCTCTCCAGCTCCTCATTCTTTCTAATTGAATTTGTTCCCCCCCCTCTTTTTATATTTAAGTCTTTAAATCCAGCATATGTTTTATATGCAGCACATCTGGATTTGGACTAACCACATTACCTGTGTGCCTAGTAGCCAAGTGTGGCCATGGCTGTTAACTGCTGTGGTCTATTATATAGTCAAATCCTTTGCCAGATGGAAGATATTAAACGCATTAAGACATACAGTTAGTCACAGCTCATGTAAATGCCCCATATCGTGGGAAACGTACATCTTGTCCTGACCCTAAAGGTAGTGTGGATGCTGAGTTCTCTGTTCTGAAGAGTAAATGCCCAGTGACATGTTGGGCACTTAGGAAAAGTATTACCAATCATGATTTTTAAATTTACTTAAAAATTAGTAAATGATTTTATTTCTAAGATTTCATTCTAGTTTGTGAGATATTTTAAAAGGGTACTTTTTTTTTGAGACATTTGTCCTATTTCTTACAGAATAAGGAATAACTTTAAGGTATATTCCTCTTTTTATGAATTTTCTTTCAATGGCTTTTGTTTTGCTTTAATTGGTGCCCTGGCCCACTCTTTTGCATGGTTGATCCACTTCATATGTCTGGTTATTTTCCATGGTCTGCTGATATTTATAAATGACTTGATCATTTATTCTGGGTAACTGATGTGGTCACTGAGTCGAATTATGTGGGCTAATGTTTGCTTTTTTTGCTGATTGATTTCCCCCAAGTGTGTGTAGGGAGGTGATTGATAGCTGGTTTGAGTCTTTGAGCATGTTTTCCTTTTTCATATGTGGGTCCTGACTGGGCTGAAAAGTGCCCACTGTTCAGTGTGGGTGGCAGACTCCCAGTGGCTCCAGAATGGTGGGTTTGGAGGGAGGTACGGCTCGTTAGAGCATTTGACTAGTGTGTTGAGGCTCTGAATCCAATGTTTAGCATCACAAGAAGGAAAGGCAGCAATAAGCACCTGCTTAGAATATTCTTTTTCAGTTTGGGACATTTAGCATATTATTATATTTCTTTACAGGAATATGCCTGGTTTGATAAAAGCCCTTGTGAAATTATTACAAATCCAAGCACTAAAGGAAGGACAAAGTGGGGAGAAGGACATTCGGGATATATACACTATCAGGTGAGTCTTCTCTACTGTTGTATTTATTTCGTTTTATTTGAACATTACATTTAGTGTGTGCGTGCACACGTATGTGAGTGCATGAGTGTGAGTTACATGCTTATGAGTCTGCATGTGTGGGAATGTGCATGATTGTATGTGAGAATGTGTGTTTGTGTGTGCTTTCACAGAAGCTGGAGGATAACCTTTGGGAGTCGTTCTCCCCTACCATTGTGAGCCCAAGAATCAAACTTAGGACATTAGACTTGGCATCATTACTCTATTTCGCTGTTCTTTTCTCTTCCTTTCTATTTAAAGGAACTTTTATATCATCAGCTAGATTAAGAACAAGATGTCATTTCTTAAGAATTATTATGTTTTCATCCAGTAGGATATGCACACAGAAATGGGTCTTCATTTCTCAGGAGGTGACTGTTTCAGAGACACAGGAATGAAAGAGTTGAGTACATGCTGAGCACCCCCAGTATGGGTTTCTGGGGAGCTTCTTTGGCACAGAGATCTGTTACTCAAAATCGAAGTGACTTTTTTTTTTTTTGCTTTAGAGTATGTAACTGTCCCTGTGTGTCATCTGGCACTTGGTAGGTGGAAGCAGAAGAATCACACTTGGGAACAGAGGAGACCTGTCTCAACGCTAACAACATGCTACTGTTTTCTCCCAGGACTGTGGAAACTGAAGAGCTCACTGAGCAAATGTTTTTAAAGCATGGGTGTTGGGAGCAGGGGGCTGGGTAGAGCAGGAAGGCAAGCTTCTTTCCATGGAAAGTAATAGGAGACACTTGTTTGCAAGTGCAGTTACCCAGGTCAGTGTCTAGTGAGGAATCACATTTGCTTTTTCTTTGTCATCTCTAGATTGTGATAGGGTGAGTTGCTATAAAAAGAAAATACAAAGCAGTAAGAACAGAGTGCACTGGGCTGTCATACTCAGTGTGTGCTGGTGACCTCACTTATTACCTGCCAGCTCCCAGGAAGCCCTTTCTTTACAGAAGGGATTTCTGCAAGGGACCCAGAAGATGTGCGCGATGAGTTCATGTTATCTCAGGAACAAAATTTTCATATTTCAAAGAATGAAGGCAGGGGACCATAAATAGGGAGTTGGTTTAGGGGTTGGAATTGGGATGGCTTATGTGGCCTGTAGTGCTTTGAGCACGTGTAGTAGAGTTGACCGTAGGCAGGATCTCTGGATCTTCGGGCATGTCTGGAACAGTGTTGCCTGCGAGTTCCGTGTGCTTGTAGTGCTTACTGCTTGATGGTCAGTGACCAGTGTCTGGTCCTGCAATGTTAGTGTTGCCTAGGATCTTTCTCGTTTTTGTGAGTGTATTATCTGTGGCTTCTTAAGCTATTTTTTTAAAGGTTAGATTTGTATTTTATTTATTTTTCTAGGCATGCTTCCCAATGTCTTTAAATATATAACAAAATGTGGCACAATATCTCATTAACTTTTTTTTTTTTAAAGCCCTGACTGGGTTGGAACTCCAGTGTAGACCTAGCTAGTCTTGAACTTACAGATATCCATTTTCTTCTGCCTCCTAAGTGCTGAGATTAAAGACATTCATCAGCACACCCATCTGCACTGAAAATGCTGTAGGAAACAGGTTTACAGCGCAAGTTTTACAAATGGTTTTATTTTTCTTCCCCCATTACCCTCTCCTCCCTTTCCTCTTTTTCCTTGTTCCTTTCCCCCTTTTTCTTCTTTCTTTTAGCATGATAGCAGTGCAAGCCTAGCTTGCAATTTCTTTTTTATCTATTACCCTGAGCAGAATTGATCCTGAAGAGTTGGCGAGTCGATCCTAGTATTTCTGGAGAGGCACTTGCAAACTCCATCTTTAAAAGAAATTCAAAATTTACTCCTAAATTTCTGGGATAGAAAATAATTTCATGTTATTGTTGTTCCATTATTTACTAATTTTTCTATAGAGAAACTACTAAGGTTTTTAATAATCCTGTATGACAGTTTTATTGGGATATAATTCACAGACCACATGAGGGATACACTTAAAGTATACAGTTCAGTGGTTTTCGTTCAGTTATGCAATTATCACCGTAGTCAAATTTAGAACATTTCTTCCTCCCCCAAAGACATTCCTCACCCCATTAGTAGTCAGTTTATACTTCTCTCCTACCCAGGAGAGCATTTCAGATCTTTGGTTCTCCATATTGCCTGCTCATTAGAACCACCTGGGCATGCTTCAAAAGAAACAAACGTAGCACCATCCAAATACTTCACCAGGCTAGAGTCTCTGCTAGGAGCCCCATGCGTTTTTAAGTACTCCCAGGTGGGTCTGATTCTTGGTGAGTATGTGGGGTAGCAGGCTGCGGACTGGTGTGTACACTACTTAGCCCTGGGCCCTGCTTAAGTCTAAGGTGGACGCCAGAGATCTGACAAGCACCGAGGTGATACTATTGCTGTTTGTGCTCCACCACCCACTGTCACGGAGTAGCAGTCACTGTAGCCTGAGCAGCACCTGGAAACTTGTTAGGAGGCATCTGCTCGGGCTGCACTGTAGGCTGCCTGAATCTGAGTCTACATTTTGGAAGATTTTTGTAGGTAGCTCACGGACTCATTAATGTTTAAGAAGCACAAGTTTAGATGGCGATGTGAACCATTCTGTGCTACTGAAACAGTATGGTTATTCTCATACTGGTTGTCCTTACTGTGTGTGTCTGACTTCACTCATCGCCTCGCCTCACCTCACCTCTGTCTCTTCTGTGATTCACTCTGTCTTACAACTTGTTCTTCTCAACGTAGTCTTATTTTCTCAAGGCAGTAGGTATAAGGTGTGGCTAGGGAGCCCAGTTTAAGGCACTAAAGATAAATGGGTATGTAAGGTTTGCCTTCAAATAGCGTGGCACACTAAGAGGTCCAGAATCAATCATCCGAGTTGGTAATGTTTATGGAGAGCCCTTCTGTGAATGGCTGTTTGGCATTATAAATCTGTAGAGTGTAATCGAGTGTATTAGAGCCTGAAGTTCCCCCAGAGGGGATTGCGGATGGCAGGAGCAGAGGAAAGGTAAGACTGGAGTGCAGATTCCCCTCGAGAGAGCTGTGATTACCTGCGCCAAGCATAAAACTGTCATGCTGCTTTGGAGCCTTCTCTGCTACGTGCTGGTTAGCAGTATCAACCAGCCTTGCAGAGGCAGCTGGTGAGCTCGATAGAAGACATGAGACTTGATATCGACTCAGAACTTCAGTGAGAGGCACAGGATTAATATAAAACCATAGTATGGCATATAATTGGCATTTTGAGTGTAAAGCTAACCTGTATTTTTCATGATATTAAGGACTTTGCCACTTTGTAGCTGTGTTTTAAAAATGTTTGCTTTTTTTTTTTGTGCAAATGGCTGGTTTATTTGAATCATAATGACACAGAATATGTGGTCATTTTAACATGTCTGTGGAATGGCTTATATCATGCAGGTGTAGGGGAAAGATGTGAGGACCAGGACCCTAGAGAAGCTGATCCTTCTGTTGGGCTCAGCGCTCAGTGGTTCTCAAAAAGTCTATACACATAAAGAAGACCTGAGAGATGCTTAGAACCACGGCTTCTCTGAGTTGCTTGTCGGAGAATCTCATTCATTCCATAGTTTTCAGTGACTTGGGAGTCAGCAATTTCATCCAGTTCCTTCCTGATACGGGTGTAGGTCATTTTGTATCTCACACATAGAAAGACTTCCTTCAGCCCCCAAGAACTTGATGGCACCACATACGGGCTACCAAGGCCCAGAAAGTTTAGGATAGAGGGTATCTTGAGTGGCTTAGCCCCACCTCCTTTCTTCAGTATGACATGTATGCTCCTCAGCTTTAAGGAACCAAGTTTGTCTTACCACATTAGTCATTTACAGTGGAGAGGCTGGGAGCAGAGCTATAGGATGATTCTAAAGAAAAACCAACCTTGGACTTCCCACTGGACGGAGAGCCCTGATTGCTCTTTGGGCTGACGAGGGAGGGGGACTTGATTGGGGGAGGGGGAGGGAAAGGGGAGGCGGAGGTGGGGAAGAGACAGAAATATTTAATAAATAAATAAATAAATTTTTTTAAAAAAAAGGAAAAGTNATATATATATATAGAGAGAGAGAGAGAGAGAGAGAACGTAGCGGGTCATAGATCCATTCAGTGACTGAATTCCATGTCTCTAATGCGTGCTAGTGTCTTCACGGTCAGATGGTGGGTGGGTGGTTGTGGGAGCAGGAGAGGAAGAGAGTCTTAAATACCCTCTTAGAAACCCACACAGGTTGTCAGGGCTTCCTATGCATAAGGAGTTTATCCTCAGAGTTTTCCATAAGTGGTTTTGCAACCTGGGCCCGAAGCACACACTCGCTGTCTTGGAATTTGAGTACAGCTGATTACTGACTGTGCCTCGAGCAGCCCTTCTCAACCTGTGGGTCACAATCCCATGGAGTTGCATGTCAGAGATCCTGCATATCAGATATTTACATTATAATTCATAACAGTAGCACAGTTATAGTTTTGCAGTATCAACGAAATAATTTTGTGGTCAGGGGCCACCACAACACGAGGAACTTTATTAAAGGGTTTCAGCATTAGAAAGGCTGAGAACTGGTTTAGAGAAAGAGCTGAATTGTTGGTGTTGCTAGTAAAGTTGGTCTTGCTCCACCTCAAGTGTTCTTGTTGAGTTTCATGGCTTATTCAAGATTAGACGGCTACATTTTAACAGGACTGCAAACGTTACCTTTGAGGATGGGGGTAACTGGGAGAAAGAGGAATTACATTTTGCTCTTGCAGTTAATTAGCTCAGGAGCCCTAAACAAGTACGAAATGCCAAGTGTGTGTCTCATCTGCAGCTGTGCAGTAGAGCCCGCTTCTCAATATACCTGTGACTGAGCACAGCTTAGAATGCCTGTGGGTCAGCCAGAGGCCCTGGGCTTTTCAGTTTCCCACATAAGCCCCGTGAGAAGGTCTTGTAGGGAATTGCTAGCCTGTGGTTCCAAGAAGTGACAGGGATGCATTGTCAGACCTTCAAATCTTTTAATAAGTGGAAGGA